TCGTAATCATACCTTGTTTTTGGGACGTAAACACCCAGATATTATTATTAAATAACGGAAAGCAGGTTACTTAGGCGTTACGCGTTATAGAGTGACAAAAATATAATTACCTCGCTTTGTAGCTTCTCAAGTTCTTCAGAGCAGCGTTCTTTCGTCCCGTTCACAAGGCCATTCTTTCAATGATGCACTCGGTGAGCAGCCTCGCGCCGTATGAGCGGGGTATTTTTCCATCGTGGCCCTCGTAACCTACGACTTTGTAATAAAAGAATTTTAAAAAAAGCGAGCAGTGCTCGCGGATTGAAGCACGAAATTTCGGGGCTAAGCAACGCTCGCACTTTCGTTCTCAGCATCTTTAGTTCGTGTCTTATCGGTGCAGTTTTGACTCGAACACTTACGCAAGAGCTGACATTTCCTTTATAAGCCATATTATCGCCTGTGCGATCATTTTCGCCTGTGCTCTGTGCCCCTCAAAGAGCAAACATAGTCAAAACGCAACGCAGACGTTTCAACCTCCCTCGGCCCCCTTGAAGGAACTCGCCTGTCATCGGTGACCCCCCCCCCCCCCCCCACGGGAAAAAAAAACTAAAAAAAAAACTGGCACTGCCCCTGCAAGAGGCGCTTATCACAAGCAATTGCTAACGGCAGACTTTGTACTATATGAAAATGACGTCACGTTTCAATCCACGAGTACTGTGCTTACGTTCAAACTTTGTCGCGTGTGTAGCTGTGATGGTGCGACTATATAGGCAGCAGTGATGGCAGCAGCCTTGGTTGGCAGTAGTTGAATCGAATACTGCTGTTCTTACAACTACGCAATTTGTCCTGCCTTGGTATTATATGTTATAACCGCAGCGCTGGCGACCAATCATATTGTAGATCGCGTCGCAGTCAGTTATACGAAGTCGCTATACGAAGACGGGCTCGGCCCCGCCGCGGTGGTCTAGTGGCTAAGGTACTCGGCTGCTGACCCGCAAGTCGCGGGTTCGAATCCCGCCTGCGGTGGCTGCATTTTCGATGGAGGCGGAAACGTTGTAGGCCCGTGTGCTCAGATTTGGGTGCACGTTAAAGAATCCCAGGTGGTCGAAATTTCCGGAACCCTCCACAACGGCGTCTCTCATAATCATATGGTGGTTTTGGGACGTTAAACCCCACATATCAATCAAGACGGGCTCGTTTACTATTGCAGTATTGCTACCGCAATCCCATTTCAACTTCAGATAAGCCATCCGTTTAATCTATCAAAGAGATTTTTTTTTTGTTTTCGGCATTGTATTACATCAAAAGATATCTTTTTACCAGCTGCGCTTGCGTCACACGTCACCGCAGGTACACGTTTTGTCGAAATTTGGCAACGGAGGGTGAAAATAAGTAGGGCCATCTCGTGATGTCGGCCACTGATGTGTCACGACTGCTTATCTGTCACGGCTTTCATGTGCTGAGCGTAAGGTTGCTAGCGGCAATGTCAACGTTACTGGCTTGTAGTCCACAGAGTTTAGGCGTACTGTGTACTTAGGGAAGTCGTAGTGGCTAAAGTTATTACAAACTCTTCAATTACGTCTTCATAACCCGCAGCTGTCTTTGGAGACAAGAAACACTACGATAATTATCGAGAATCCACGTAACTGTACTCGAGGGCTTATTGGAACGAACGCCGACAAATTCAAGCGTTACGCGCGATAAGGGCACATTAACGGATACCTCTCATCTCTCCGACAAATGCGCAAGGTAAAAAAATGCCGCCATATCCACGAAGTGAATGATGATGAGTGGGCGAAGCTCCGGAGGTAAACCTGGTAAACCATGAATCCTCCGTACATTTTGCCCACTCGATTTTATTGCAACGCTCCCCCTAGCGTACGTCGCCGCACTATATCGAACGATGACACACGCCATATGTGGCATCATTCCTATTTTATAACACCTCGCATCTTTCATAATCAACTACACGTACCGCCGTCTAGTTTATAACATCTTGCATCTTTTGGACGGACGGACGGATGGACGGATGGATGGATGGACGGACGGACGGACGGACGGACGGACGAACGGACGGACGGACGGACGGACTGACGGACTGACGGATGGATGGATGGATGGATGGATGGATGGATGGATGGATGGATGGATGGATGGATGGATGGATGGATGGATGGATAGATGGATGGATGGATGGATGGATGGATGGATGGATGGATGGATGGATGGATGGATGGACGGACGGATGGACGGATGGATATGGCTGTACCCTTTAGATCGGGCGGTGGCTAGCGTAATACTTAGAACTGAACGAGAGGTGGCTACATACAGGGGACGCACAGCCCACGCCTTAAGGAGCTTCGCTTCTAAAAAAAAAGAGAAAACTGCGCAGCAAAGCACGCGAAACGTACATGCACCGCCTTAAAATGAATGTGACAGAGTGTCGTGTCACTGGGCTGAGTGCGCGAGTTCTGTCAAGGTCTTATTGCACCATCACCAAGAGTAGCAGCCTGACGGATGACGCGCGTCGCTGGGGGGCGCTGCAGGGCTTGCTTAACATGTGCGCTCGCTCAGGCCATGGGCGCACTCGGAAAGCTGGAAAAGTGCGGGGCACTGAAGCGTCTTTACGAATGCCTTTCTTTTGCCCTCAACTTCTTTTTTTTTTTTTTTGCCTCAATCTGCCTTCGCAGCGTTAGCGCGTATTAAAGTGCGGCATTTCCTAACCAGACGCGACAGCTATTTCACCAAGGGAGGGCGCCGCAAGTGCAGCCGCTCGTGTACAGGCATTTGCCCCAGCTTTACCCCGGTTTCGTTAATTCACTCTTTTTTTGCCTCATTTTTTTTTTCAATAACGTCGTCCGATGACCGCGGTTTTTCACTTCTTTGAGTGGGTGCGCTTGTAAACGGGCTTGGTCAATGAACAAGCTAAAGAATGTTAGACTGAAGTAAATAAATGTAGACACCGATCTGTTTTCAGCTTGGCCATATTACGGCGGAGTGAACGAACCCACGCCTGTTTCGGGTTGCGTTGCGGAGGAGCGGACGTAAGGGAAAACGAGATGTTGTCTTGACCGAAACGGTTTTTTTTTTATCGTGTTTTCTCGGACAATTGACACAGCGCAGTTTGTCAAAGGACTTCATGCGTGCGTTGTGTCCAGTCCACTGGGGTTGTTCTTCGTTGGTAATTCAGGGGTAGTGGTCAAGTACTGTTTGAGATCTCGAACTTCTTTTTTTTTCTTCTTTTTTCCCTTTGCGCATTGCACTTTTTAGTTGAAAATATCACGTGGTAAACAACTATCTCTTTATGTGTGCGAGCTCTCTGCCGACTTCAAAGACCCTCAGTAGTGCGAATCAGGCCCACTGCACGCTATTCGGCAGCATTAGAGTTGCCAAACTTCGTCTGAGAAATGCACCGCCTGCGCGAATATCATATTGACATTAAGAAACTGTTATTTTTCTTGTCGTGACTACTGACGTCACTTATCTCGCAAAAAAAATTACAAGTACACTTCATAAGAAACCTTTCATGCATGACAAATTTCGGACCAGCTTCCAAGTCTCTCCTTATTCACATGGCAGAAACGCGAAGGGCAGGTCACAATTATGAAAGTGAATTGTGCGGCTCTGCGATCAAAGGGATCGAATCAGTCAAAGCGTGAGACGCATCCACAATGTAGCAGTGCATAGTGATGCCGTTGCGTTGATTGCAACGATTACTATTCTCCAGTAACGGACTCCTGCTGTGCCTATATATCATAGTGGCCAAAGTAACAAGCGCACCGAGTTGTGTCACAAGGTGAAGAAACATAAACTCCATCATCATAGTAGTACGGTAGCAGCCAGTGCACTCACGATCACGGATGGCTACTGAAAGTGACTATACGTACTCGGTTGTTCGTACAGCTTGCATATACAAGTCGGGGAGGCGTCAGCATTGTCCAACACAACTCAACGGCTTCGTCATGCCCCGCCGGGTTGGTCTAGTGGGTAAGGTACTCGACTGCTGACCCGTATGTCACGGGATCGAATCCTGGAGGCGGTGGCAGAATTTTCGATGCAGGTGAAAAGGCTGTAGGGCCGTGTGCTCAGATTTGGGCACACGTTAAAGAACCCCAGGTGGTAGAAATCTCCGGAGTCCTCCACTACGGCGTCTCACATAACCGTGTAGTATAGTTTTGGTACGTTAAAACACGCATATCAATCAACCAACTGGTTCGTCATTACATCACTACACATTCCAACAATTATTCATGCAAAACAAAATTAAACCTGACAATACAACGTCTGACTCAAAAGTAAAAACTCTGCTCTATGCCAGGGAACCGTATAACAGATGGTAACTATGGTAAACGCTATGTGACACAAGAAGAAGCGTACGGTATACGCGGAGAAGAATCTTCCGCTACATTTTACGAGACAAATTACGCGCAGCCGAAGTGGCCACTGACATCGGATATTTGCTGCTACACGTTCGTATTCTGCATGTTTAGAATTATTGACTGGAAACCAATGCATACACTGCGGTTTTTTTTAGAAATAAGCCCTTTCCGCATTCCTATAAATCCGGCTGAATGAGATCTCTTAAAAAGTGTTTTTGTCAGACTTGACCGCCTTCTAGATGTACTGTTTATATATGGCTCTTATTAATCGTATTATCTCTACACGCGAGGTAGTTCGACGTCGTGTGATGTACAGGCTGTTCGTATTTGATTGGTCGTATTATACATGAAAATTTATGCCAGCTCCACGAAACAAGCACACATTGCAAAATAAAATGCAAGTACGAAGGGCCCATTATCATGAGTCGCTCGGTAACAGAAACACCTGTAAAGAACAAAGTTATAAACAATAACAAAATAAAATAAAAAGAACTAAGAATTGTAGATCTATGCACGTCAGTAGAGAAGTGCACAACGTAGTCATAAATATTCGGCATTTTTACTCTTTAATGCGGAAGTCTGTAGCGTGTTGTCCCGTCGTGCATGTGCGAGAGAAAGGACTGAGCTGGACCTTCATTTCCCCAGATGGCGAGAAGGAGAATGAGCGCTCCCATCCTCCACTCTGGCAGCAAGTTCCGGCACGGACTACTGCAGCTCCTCATTCACTCCATTGACCCCCTGCACGAGCACGAAGGGGAAGCCAACGGTCAGTCTCCCTTGCTCTTTACGCATTCCCGTTTACTTGCAAAAAGAGAAAAGCCCTTCAGAGTGGCTGATATGTTAATATAAAGCCATGATGCTGAGCTCAGTGAAGTGGGTTCTATGTCAGGCATACCAGATGGGCTTCTGCGGAGCAAAATATAAAAACGGGCCTCTACGGAAACTTCTACTTAACTGGAAAGCACTGTGAGACAGCGGAAATGAACATGTAAGGTGCTGTGTATCACCCTTTATTTCAAAACTATCGTGCTGCTTTACCTTGATATCGATTGCTTAGATTTGGTGCACGTTATAAAATTATAGGCGACAGAACTGATTTCATAAGCTTACCTTGATTTTTATTTGAGGAGTTAAATGAATGAATGAGTCAATCAGTCGATCCCGGAACAGCTCAAGATGGCAGGAACCGAGAAGAAGAATATACCCTGCGCTATGCACAACGAGAGTTGCACCATTAATTAAACTAAAGATACAGCCGACAAACGCATAATCCTTAGTTGGAAGTTTTTGCGCATTGCGTGTGTCTTCTTAATCCTGGTTCCTGGAATGCCGTGCATTACCGAATAAATTATGAAGCCCAACCAAGCAGCCTGATAGCATGCTCTCGCAAACATTTAGCCTGTACGTGTTGGTATAGAATGAAGTAAGAATGGAAGTTTTGGGGCAAATGTAATTGCTTCCTCGACAACTTCCTATTGCGTATGTGACTTTTAGAAATTTTCAGAAGCGGCTTTCAATTCGCAATTGACGATAAACTCACCGTCGCCTACTGGTGGTATAAGCATTGAACAGAGTTCGTCGTCAATAACTGCGTCGTGTACCTGGCGAAGCAGACGCGTAGTGAAATCAGCCATCACAGGATATAACTTATGACATGTAGCTTGCTTGTTAAGTAGCGTGGAAGTAACCGACTATTTTGATGATCACCCGAAGATGACGCAAATAGAAACTGTTTACACCAAAGGCCTGCCATGGCAGCTGTCGCGAAAGCCTTAAGGGTGAAAGATGGTTTAGTTTCCGTGTTTAGAGTGAGTGACTGCGATTTGTTTCACATGGCGTAAACCAAGAATTACTGTTAAGGCGAAAGTAGAACCTCCGCAAAAATTTTAAATTGAGCGGCTCCATTTAGTTTGCTGTAAAATCCCGGTGGACATAGAAAACCAGTGGTTCCCCACACCAAGTGGGCTCGCTCACTGGATTTCGTGCCCACCGCTTGTGCCCTCGCGATCTCCGACGTCTGCGTAGCTCTCTGGCCTACTGAGCTTGCCCTACATTGTCTCCTGACGCTGACAAGAGCTCTCGCCAGTGGTGCCCAGCCCTCGGACTCCTGCAACCATGTCCATCTTTCCTTCTCCTTACTTCCGTCGTTCGCTGTCCCTGCGCCTCGCTCTCTCCTTCCTCTCTATCCATCTCTTCACCTTTTAATCCTACCATTGTAATCCTTCCTTACTCCCATCCCTCGTGAGCTACTGTTGAGGTGTCCTTCCCCTGAGAGACAGTTGCGGGGCCCACTTTTCTCTTCTTTTCACTTTAAAATCACTTCCCCCACATCAAGTATGCTAGTGTCTTCAGATGAAGAGCTGGGAGTGTCCCGCGGTGAGTGTGAGCCCAGTTCTTTGTGCGCATGCGCAGCCAAGCTGGATGAGAAGGCGTCCCAGCTGCACACTATCGCGTCCCTGCGCGTGTTGCTGGACGCAACCAAGCCCGGCGGAGAGGGCCAGTCCTCTTCGGGCGTGGCCAATGGTGGTCCCCCCCCGGCCCCCCTCGGGGGCTGCCCTCGGGGGGGAACCCAGGATGGCAGCAGCGGCTCCGCCGAGACCCGCCTCACCAGCCTCAGCAACAGCGATGCCCTCGTGCGCGTAGACTCCGTCTCCAACCTACAGGTATATATACATATGTGCCTTCGCTCTCTACAATCAATCGATCAATTGTTATATCTATCAGTGAATCAGTCATTTAATCTACGATTCCATTGATTAATCTCTTAATCTACAACAACTGCTTACTTGTAATTCTGTATCACGATTGTATACTCATTTGCATTTGTTTACATGTTCAGTTAATTACGTATTGATCAGCGAGTGAAGTATAAATTAATGTCTTTCTACAGCAATTACTTTCTTAAATCTGTATATCGATTTTGCAGATTCATTTGACAAAAGCTGATTTGCTATAATAAAATTTCACCTGAAATTTGTCAATGCGAAAATTTTCATGAAACTAACAGTTCACAAGCTAGATGAGCAAGATGTTTGTAAACAGGATGCTTTCTTTGCGTACTGCAAGCATTTATGGTATCTATCTATCTATCTATCTATCTATCTATCTATCTATCTATCTATCTATCTATCTATCTATCTATCTATCTATCTATCTATCTATCTATCTATCTATCTATCTATCTATCTATCTATATATCTATCTATCTATCTAGCCGCCTACGTCTGTATGCTCTCATGATCACCCCCTTATCTTGTGATACACCAAAATTAGTACTAAAAGGTCAAATGCTTTGTCGAATACGACTACCTGATCATGACATGAGTAATGTAATCTCGTCGCGTACGTCGTCTAACACTTTCCAAAAACTGTGGCAAATAACGGGGGCCGGATATGTGCCACTGGTATGCGGGTATGCGCCACTGGTGATAATATCTACCAAAGAACGGCCAGAACACACATGGGTAACTTTAACGCTTCAGAGTTTTTAAAAGTCGCCATAAGCAGCGTCGACCTGAAGAATGCAAAATAATAAATGCCAGTGTCCCAGCAGGAATCGAATCTCTATAATATCCTGCGTGGCAATGAAATATACTACCACAGAGCCACGCCAGGCGTCGGGTGTACTTACAAAAAGACAGTCATGTTCGTGTAACGTCAACCGTGGTTGCAGTACTGGCTATACGATTTTATAGACATTACGCATGTACCCCTATGATACAGCCGTCATGTCGGGTTAATGTAAATTGTAATTAGGCGCCATACGCTCAAGTTGATTTGTGCAACAGTGTTGAGGACCGCCATCCTCGCGCGTTAGCGTAAACACAAGCGCTTCATATAAGCATACCTCTTCTGGTGTTGCTAATATCCATGTTGCTGTTGGCATCGTCACGCAACTGTAAACAACTGCTAATATAAAACATACGCGGCTGTTTAACGTAACTGTGTGCGAGGATTTGTACATATATCTCGCGCCACTTCATAATGTCTGCCTTAATGAAAAAAATAAAAAGCCTTCACCTTCGATCCGCATGCTTCGCATGCCATTGATTCTTAAGGTACCTGGGATGTTTTGTTTTCCAAGTTTTGTTGGATGCATCAAATTATGAAGTGCGGCAGTTACTCGTTTACACCGACTGCCGGTTCAGGCCAACTTCTACTAATGACGGCCACGGCGACGTTGTATAAACAGGATACGAACGACGAACAAAAATGTTCGCAGAGCGACTCGTCCATAACGTCCAACCTGAGCGAGAAGATGGCGGCGGCCAGCGGAGGCGGCGTCGCCATTCTGCACCAGAGGCCCGCGCCGATCCAGGAGGCCATTGAAGCGCCCAGCCTGCCGTCTACCGGTGACGCCATCGCCTCTGCGCTTCCGGACTCTGGCTACAACAGCGCCACAGCGGCGCAGGCCGTGGTAGGTTCACACGGTATTAATGCCTTAAAGGGATATTAAAGGCAACTAAAAATGTATACCAGAGTGAAACGTATGACAGCGTCTAGAACGGCAATACTATCAACAGCAGTGCCCTACTTACCGAGAGATTAAGCTAAATGTACTGCACGACGGTCCCCGTGGGTGGGATATTTTGGAAATTGATTGATTGATTTGTTGGGTTTAACGTCCCAAAACCACCACATGATTAAGAGAGACGCCGTAGCGGAGGACTCCGGAAGTTTTGACCACCTGGCGTTCTTTAGCGTGCACCCAAATCTGAGCGAACGGGCCTACAACAGATATTTTGGAAATGATCCCGATGACGTTAGCGTCTGACTACAAATTATCGCTAGTAATCAAATTAGCTGCAATAGAAAAACTAAATTCCGTGCATCAAGAGACGTAATAAAATGCTGCTTTAAAAATATTTTATAGAGTGGGGTAAATCTTTAACCCAATTGGGAACTACATAACCAACATCAGGTATTCTGCCACACAGCCGTGCCAGGTATTGGAACTGCATTGCTCAACCCAAGCGGAATACGCTAACGCGAGACAGGTGAGAACGTCGACGTCAGAACGTAACGCGAGAACGTAAACGCGCTCCATTTCGGTAATACGGACGTCTGCGTTCTAACATGAGTGCTGGCGTTATGTCACACAATACGTTACCCTGTGTAGTCGCCATGTAGACGCCGTGCCTGGTAAGCCCACACAACCAGTGCACTTAACGTCGATCCACCTCGTGACACATGCCTCAAAGCACCCCCCGCCCTAAAAAAAAAAAAGAAAACGAAAAAAAAAATCATACGCTACAGCGTTACGCTTCGCGTGAAGAATATCACGGACTGATAAAATAATCACATTTCTTCGTATACCACTGCTGGTGCTGGTGGTGCACATGTTTTTGGTGGGATCGTTTCGCAACTGTGAGTAACCAGTTCTCGCATTCCCATGTTTTGTAGATATACGTGAAACGCTTAAAAATTTCTACGAATGTTTACTGAGTACTACATCCTTCCTTCTCGTAACGTTAGGCTCATTTTAGAAGTGCCACATAACAAAGTTGTTGATACATGCTTCGCATATCATTTATTCCCACGGTGTTGATATCATTTCACTTTGTTGTTGAAGAAAGTTGTTCGCATATCATTTATTCCCATGGTACATAGGATCTTCCAAAATTTTTTAATAGACATATTATTAGAACATTCTTCAGAATGAGCTTTTCATATTAGCCTCTTACTACTATTACCTGAATACGCGAGAGAGTTATACGTCGTGTGATGTTCAGGCCCCTCATTGTAAATTAGTCGAACTGTACATAAAAAAACAATGTACAGGTGCTCGAAAAGAAATTCCAGCAGGAAAGGGCGTAGATGCCGCAATGTTCTTTTTTTTTTTCCCTCGCGAATCACTTACGCGTCGTGCCTGGTGTTCTGTTTGGCGACACGCAGCAGGCGGCCAAGGAGCTTCCACCGGACACGATCGAGGAGACCAACGAACCACTGAGTGTCGCCTGGCCGGACACGTGGCGCGAACGCTTCAACTACGTCGTCCTGGCGCCCATCATCTTCCCTCTCTGGCTCACCATGCCCGACGTACGCAGGCCGGTGAGTGAACCCCACAGTTTGCAGCAATGGTTGCAGCGAAACGGGAAGGGGTTGGTTCGTATTAAGAATATGCACGCAGAACAGAGGAGCCGAAGTGGCCGTGTAGAGCTGTTCGTTGAAAAAAAATCACAGCATATCCACGGAGTGAATGATGATGAGTGGGGCGAAGCGTCCGTCAGCCCGTCCATGCTTCCGTCCGTCCGTTCGTTCTTGCTTCCGTCCGTCCGCACGACCATCCATGCGTCCATCCATACGTCCGTCCGTGAGTCCATCCATCCATCTGTCTGTCTGTTAGTTCGTCCATCCGTCCGTGCGTCCGCGCGTCTATCCATCCGTCCGTCCGTCTGCTAGTCTGTCTGTCTGTCTGTCTGTCTGTCTGTCCATCCATCCGTGCGTCTCCATATAGTGAACACTAAGAGTACCACCATCTTCCGTCTCGGATCCCCTGTGGCACATACCCGCTCTAGAGCGGGTATGTGCCACTGTTGGTTACGTACTACTACATGCATACAAGCGTTAAGCAGACCCACGCCTTAAGGAGCTTCGCCCCTAAAACAGAAGCGGCACCAGTATAACGTAAAAGCTCGCATTACAGCGTAGTTACCTATGTACAGCATTGTCACCTAATGTTTTCACAAATACTATAGCTTGAAAACGTTTTTATGATTGAGATACAACGAAACAAATAAGACGATAAGCACGTTGTCGACTGCAGGAGTTCACCTGACTCTACATGCCGACTTCCTTTATCTCTCTCTCTTTTTTTCTTTATTTCTCCACCTTTCACTTCGAAACTGTGAGAACTAAAGACGGTCGACTACAAAAGCTGCAACTTGGGGTGTCACCAGCGTAGCCCGGCTGAAGTGAATGAGTGGAAGAACGGCCTGCGTCATGCGGTGAACGCTACTGGCGCGCCCTCGTTTGCACCTGATTGGCCTCGTAACTAGTCACGTCATTATGAAGGCCAATAATAGGGCTTTCAGCAAGTTGATTTAACTGCAGCTGCTAATTTTCCAAATTGCACTATAGCCAAGTCAGCTGCTATACGAAATCAAAAGCGAGTACCCTTCTATCTAGACGCACATTGCAACTTCCTGCATTTAGAGCCCATCATTGAGTTTTCACTGATGAGTCGTAAATTTCGATACTTTGAAAGCTATCTAGCTCCTGTGAACTGACATTCAAACACGACCAAATAACATTACATCTCGGAAATGTCACTGCTCTTTGCCGCGTCATTGATTCCCGTCCCTGAGCTTCACAACATATTTTTTTTTTTGTAACGCACTTGTTGCAATAATTCATAACCTAAGTCGGTATAAAACTTGTAGATGCATTCAACAAGCGCCCTTAATTTGCGTGAGGCTGTAAGACACACTCGCTCGGCACTTTTCAGCATTCATAACGCGAGTCACAAAACACAACTCCACAAGGGCTCCCGCGCCCACGCACGCACATGTCATGTACACGGCGCGCTCGTCGCAGTTCCCATCGGGTTTGTAGCTTTTAGTACTATATACTAGTACACTTCACTCAAACTACACGGGAAATGCATTTTTTTATTTTTTTCATCGCAGACCGCTTTGGAGGGTCGAAACACGTCGCTCTGTCCGTGCTCGGTACACGCGTCACCCGTCGACAACACAGTTGCTTTGTCCTTTTTACGACATTGTAAAGTGATGTAATCGCTGTATTCAGCCCGGCCGTCGTCCCCCAAGAAAGGAGTTAAAAGAGAGCTGACGGTGCAATGTTCGGTGGCGACAATCTGCGTAATGCACGCACCCACCGCTGGTCATGCTTGGCCTGCAACAAAGCTCGGCAAGCAGGTTCCCTTCAAAAAAAATAGATACATAAAAACGAGAAGTCAGCAAGAGCGGAAGAGCCGTACAACAATGGAGGATGCTTTGCCCTGAAGAGAGGTGCGCGCGAGGCGGCGCATCGCAAACCGAATGCATAATTTAACACCGCCGGCCTCGTCCCTGCACCGCGCGCAGAGAATGCCACCAGCACTTTATAACAAAGGGGACAAAAATTTTCCCTTTTTTTTCGCCTCTATCTCTCTCTCTCTCTGTCGATGACAGCGTGTGACTAACCCCTCCCTCGGTGCGAAAAGTGTACAAAAACTTTCGTCACCACCATTTTTTTTTTCATCTGCCATCCGGTCACCTATACGCTATATTACATTGCCGAAACATATTCTTTTCGAAGGTACCTCGTGGAAGTCGGCTGAAAAATAACCGCTTGAAACGAAGCAAACTAAATAACGAAAGAAGAAGGAAAGACAGAGAGAGAAGGGGGGGGGGGGGGGGCGACAGGAGATGCAGATCCGTATGTGTGTGCGAGCAGCGGCGGCAGCCTATCGGAACAAGTGACAGAGAGCCACGAATAAAGGCCGTTTCTCGTGGCTTTCTCACAACCTTGCTCTTTTTTCCCGTTCATCTCTCACTTCTTCCGGATCTATAGATCGCAAGTATATAGCTAGGTCTCGAAAATAAACACGAAAAAATGCAAAGACGTGAACAAGAAAAAAAAAACAGAAAATCCGTCAGTTTTTTTTTTTTTTTTTAACGGTGAAGTGTGCACTGGTCGTATAGCGCGTGCACTGACGTAGATGCACACATAGAAAGCGACGTAAACTCCCTTCCGTAGCTGAGCTACGCAGGAGGGAAGTTCCGACCATCTCGAACCGCAACCCCCCCCCCCCCCCGGGTTTATTCGGCACTCCGACGCTGTTTCTCGCGTGGCCGACGCGACCACATTTTTCTGGTACATTGTTTGTTTCTTTGGTTGTTGCTAGTTTGCTCGGATACTGTTGTTCTTTTTTTTAACCGGGCATTCTTCTCACGCCGCAGGAGAAAGTGAAGTTTGTGGCCGGTTCCTTCCTGGGCAGCATCGCCTGGATCGCCATCTTTTCCTACCTCATGGTGTGGTGGGCCACCGTGGTCGGCGAAACGCTAGGCATCCCCCACCGAGGTATGCGCGTCACCCGTTGGTAATCTATGCGCCGAGGTTCCCTTCGTTCACACACCCCAAAACTTTCAACTAAAACTGTACTCTAAGCAAAAAAATATTCGCAACCGAATAATTAATTAGCAACTATCGTCCTGTGTCACTGACTGTCTGTTTGCTGCAAAGTCATAGAGAATAGAATAGCAAAGCTATCATGGTTCACTTGGAGGTTAATCAATTACTTCAGACTGTCAGCATAAATTTAGAAGTGGCAACTCCACAGTGACGCAATGTGATGCAAACAATTCAGGATTTCAGCTCGGCTATAGACGATCGCAAACAAGTTGATGTCATTTGTATTGATTTTTCTAAAGCCTTTGATGTTGTAAACCACACTAAACTGCTTTTAATTGAGTAAAATTGGATTCAGTGATGAAATTTTAAATTGGATTGGCGCCTACCTGAGTAAACGCAAGCAAGCAGTGAGGATTGATGGTTCTTTTTCAGCTACGCTAGATGTGTTTTCATGTGTGCCTCAAGGGTCCGTGCTTGGCCTGCTGTTGTTTTTGTTGTACATAAATGATATAAGTACTATTGTAAAGCCACCTGTTCAGATGAAACTTTATGCTGATGATTTGTTTGATTTATATGCCTGTAAGCTGTACTGATGATCACATCGAGTTGAATAAGTGCCTTGAAGATTTGGAATTGTGGTGTTGTGAATGGGATATGCAAATTAACTTTAAAAGAAAAACATATGTACACATAACCAACAAGAAAATGTTCTCAAATTTCCAGTACAACATCGGGAGCAATAAACCTCAGTAACACGCCCCATTTTAAATACTTAGGGGTGACCATTACGAACAACCTAACTTGGCACCCGTCACATTGAATAGGTTTGTTCTGAGTCATTTAAAAACTGTTTTCTACGAGCAAAGATGCATAAAACACCGAAAACACGTAAAGCTGCTTGCATACCACACATATATTAGACCTAGACTGCAATACCTCTCTGTGGTTTGGAGCCCTCACCAGAACCACTTGGTCACCAGTTAGAACGTATTCAGAGGCGTGCAGCTCGGTTTGTGTGCTCTAGATATAGAAGCGGGATTCAGTAACTGATATGCTAAATTCATGCAATTTAGAATCACTGGAAATTCGAAGACGGAAACAAAAACCTAAAACATTATTTCGTATAATCCAAGGGATATTCAAAATACCTAAAGACGAGTACATGCGCCTTCCCGGAAACCGTAGCACTAGATTGAATCATGATGCCCCTATTTGAACCTTTCAGCGCTCGCACTGACATCTTTCGACGGTCATTTTCCCGGATGCTATCGAAACAATGGACTTCTTTACCCCAACATGTTATTAATAGTACCGATGTGCAAACTTTTGACAGAAAACTTGATGCTTATTTTGGTAATGGTTGAAGTACTGCCCATTCTGTTTTCCTGTGTTATTCCTTAGTGTTTTTTTAGGTGTTCTGTTTGTACTCATATTGTACTCCCTCCCTGTTATGACCCTCAAGCGAGGGTTGACAGTATCATTAAATAAAAAAATAAAGAATAAATAAAGAAATCGCAGCAATTTTCCAATGTTTTACGCCACGTATCTTGCTCCACCTGCGCAACTGCGCCCTCTGTCTGCGCAACTGCACACTAACTTCACACTTTGTAAAACGGTATGTCCAGGATCTCGGCAAACATTTCAGATTGAACTTGTTTAATTCCCTTCCTTAGCTTATAACCAGAAGTGATGTGATCACCGTAAGATAAATAAAATACCGAGGTGAGTGTGAGGCCGGATCAGCTAGAAATCTCAATAGCCCCAGCAGCATTACTTGAGGAGGTTCCCAAAAAAAGGCTTCGTTTTAAAACTAAAGTGGTGATAGCGAAACTACCGTCAAAGAATCACCACCGCGGAGGACGCGTTGATTACCGTCCCCCGTGGACTTGAGTTTCCGAATATTTTTCTGGTTGTTTATCGTTCCTGCTCCCGTTACGCGCCTTAGTAATAGACTGTAAACCGCCAATTTAGCTGACAAAAAAAGCACAAGGTCGTCAGAAAGGTTGTCGCATGGTATGATGCGTCGGTGAGTGCCGAGATAGCACAACTGCCGTTCGTCCGCGGGGTAGAGGATATAGGCGACAGAGCTCATACTGAAGCCTATTCATCCTTAAACTTAGTTCACCAATTTCAGTAAGCATCTCACTCATCCTTTCAAATTTCTGGCATTGTCGTACGATACGAGCCTTTAGAACATGCACTATCAAGCATTCAAGAAAGGAACGTTAGTTTACTTCTCAGGATATTTATAACCACTTTCGATGTGTTCGCTCTTCAATGCAACTAAAAAAAAAAAAGCACTGGCCTCACACACATACAGTCCGCGTCAAAAGCTTTGATACCACGAGACACAATAAGAAGCTGAATGGTGACGCTTCATTCACAGCCGACCTTCGATTTAGTAAATTTCCGGCCCGTTCTAAAACTCGTTAACATGTTCTCTGCAGTTCGTTGAATAAAGTCACAAACTGCTCGAAATTGTAGTTTTCTCAGACCTAGTGGTCTCTAGACTACTCACGGAAATTGTGCATCACTCCCCCTCCCCCCCCCCCTTGTTCATATGGGACAATACTCGTAACGCACGGACTTCGTTGCATCATTTGACACAATTACAGGGCAAAGTTTTCCTTTCCCGGGTTACTAACACACGCACGTTGACAGGTGATGGGCCTGACCTTCCTGGCAGCGGGCACCAGCATTCCGGACCTCATCACGAGCGTCCTGGTTGCCCGCAAGGGCTTCGGTGACATGGCCGTGTCCAGTTCCGTCGGAAGCAACATCTTCGACGTGGCCGTTGGGTGAGTCCTCTTACACCGATGTAACCCCATTGTGATACGCACGGAAAGCAATCTCATATGTGCTGTGCGAATCGGCATTTGCCCAACCTTCTGCGTGTTTCCCATGCGATGTCTCAAGTCCCTATATGTACGATGTTCGGAGCAGCTTTAGTGAGGGTTTAAACATTTTGGGATACTGGGTACGCCAGGATTTATCAAGTCTGTAGCCCCCTAAGATCCAAAACAGAAAGAAAAGAAATCGGGACAGCTTAGTTTAGTGTAACTTGCCGTCTTTGGTAAATGTTTAGTGATGAGCGTAGCAGCCTCCCAAAGAAGGTGGGTTAATTTTTGTTACATAATGATAAACTAATAGATACCACTGCACGTTAACTCTCTGGTACATTGCATTCTCCCCAAGACCAACACAATGGGCTCTCCAACTCGGCAACTCTGTTCGGAGTTCAGTGACTGTGCCAACGCAGCAACAGCCAGTGTTCACCACAGCGTGTTTCGTATGTATTTACCGTGTTGTATCAAACGCAAAGAACTTCTAAATGCAAGCGTTAATGCCCTGGCAAGAGCACAAAAAATCAAAATGCCTGAAAACTAACTATAAACACGGTATAGATGGTAGACAGCTACAGTAGTATACGGCTTGAAAAACAACATATACGCATAATAGCGCGATAACCTCGCAGATAAAACACATCGCAAAGGGTCCTCGTTGTTATTCAAGTTGTAAACGACCCAGCGGGAAATTTTCTGTTAGGGTAATCCTGTCAAGCCTATATATACTACTATTACTCCACGAATTGCCTGTAAAAAAAAAGAATAAAAGGTAGATTATGCATTAGGTCGTTCACTAAGAGCTGTTTTTTTTTATTTTGCGCATATAGACTGTGTCCAAGTACGTTCTGCGCTATATACTGTGACTAGCGCGACGTGCAACGCAGAAACGCACGGGTGGCTCAACTGCAAGGATGCTTCGGATCCGCCACCTATTTAATTACCAGTTTGCATTGCGATTCATTAGCGCAATTCGTGCGGCGAATTCTCAAAAACATGGATTGATTGATTGATTGATTGATTGATTGATTGATATGTGGGGGTTTAACGTCCCAAAACCACCATATGATTATGAGAGACGCCGTAGTGGAGGGCTCCGGAAATTTAGACCACCTAGGGTTCTTTAACGTGCACCCAAATCTGAGCACATGGGCCTCCTTCATTTCCGCCTCCATCGTAAATGCAGCCGCCGCATCCGGGATTCGAAACCGCGACCTGCGGGTCAGCAGCAGAGTACCTTAGCCACTAGACCACCGCGGCGGGGCTGTCGCGAACACGGAGTCAAGCATTGCGCAACTTCAGCAGCGCGAATTTTCTCGCGTTTGAGGCCATCGTCTGAGACAGTTGCGGGCATCGGTTGCGGCAGAAAATGTGGAGCTCACTTAGAGACTCGCCAAAGAAGCATATTTCGTGTTCAGGGCTCGCACACTCTCGGAGGAGGAGGAGGAGGAGGAGGAGGAGGAGGAATAAATGAGGAAGGACAGGAAGGTTAGCCAGTTCCCACACTCTCGGAGCCCCCAAAAATTTCCTCCGCTGGACTCACTCAGACTCACAGTCATGGCTCGATTGAGTGTAACCGAGTCTTTGGGTGTCGACTCATGATTTTTATTAGCGTATAGCTAGAGTTCTGTTTTTTTTTAGATCCGCAGCGTTAGTGCTCGACAACACCAATATCTTACACAATTTGTGCTCTACGAGCAACTTTCTGACCTCGTACCTTGAAATACGAAGCGTCTGTCGTTGTTATTCCGTGAGGACATTTTCATTAAAAGATTGATTGATGTGTTGGGTTTAGCGTCCCAAAACCACCATATGATTATGAGAGACGCCATAGTGGAGGGCTGCGGAAAATTCGACCACCTGGGGTTCTTTAACGTGCACCCAAATCTGAGCACACGGGTCTACAGCATTTCCGCCTCCATCGGAAATGCAGCCGCCGCAGCCGGTATTCGATCCCAGGACCTGCAAATCAGCAGCCGAGTACCTTAGCCACTAGACCACCGCGGCGGGGCTTTATTAAAAGACAGTGCTCATACGAGTATTTTTATCGAGAACTTCTTGTGCAAGAAGTTTTGGTTAGCGGAGAATGGAAAAAAAAGGGAGGGGGGTGTTGAGGCACTTTCTCCCGCCCCTCAACTCACGCCTCTGGTGAATAAATATTGAGCTGGCGCATTAACGCTAATGCGTTGAAATATGTGCGAGCAGATGTGAGTATTACAAATGGTGGTAGCTGACGTAAGGCTGCCAGTAATGCTGAAAATAAGAATATAGAAGTACAGGTTGGTGAAAATGTGGAGCTCACTCCGACTCACAGTACACGTTGGTGAAAATGTGGAGCTAACTCCGACTCACTCAATAAATATACTTTGCGCTTAGAACTCACGCGGGCCCTTAATCACCAAAATACTCCTTAAATGGCCTCACTCGGACTCAACCTACCGGAATATAACTCAGCCGGACTCACTCAAACTCCTGAAAGAGTTCGAGTCAGTCGACTAGTGTGTGAGTTCGCCGACTGTTACAAGCTGCCACTCTAGCGTCGCCAGCGCGAAGTCGGCGACGGGAATGACAGCAGGTCGGTTCGTTCCGTACGCAAGCAGAGACAGTGAAGAGATCAGAGACGTGTGAAAACAAAACAAACTTTACTCTAGTGATATTGCAGCACACGGGATCTAATACAACACTTCAATACAACTAACAAATTACATCGACACTGGATACAACTAAATAAATATATAACAGAAACAATAAATCAGCTTACGAGAGAGAACTATTACAAACTACACAAAGTAACAAGAATAGAACGACGGAGGAGAAAGTTCGAAGATATAAACAGGTGAAGGCATACGTGTGATGACCGGCAGCGTTGTGTCCCCGACGATCGGATGCGAGAAGTCGAAGAGAGTTCTGGCACGACTGCGATGTCGGCGGTGTTGCAACGCTGGTGGCTCCGGGAGGCTAGTGCTTGCAGGTGACTTCGAGCAGGTTGAGCTAACTCGAGGCGAAGTCCCGATGTCTACGTTGCAGACGTTAATATCGCGTCACAACTAGACGAACGGCTAAGTTTAGGTGGCCAGCCGATACAGAGCCACACTAAAAACTTCTAGAAGAGATGCTTGTTGATCTGTTTCTACACCATCTTGGTCAGCGACTAGTCTGCCTAGCAGGGCAAAATCCTGCGCTTAAATCCCCCTCGTGTCTCCTCGCTCTCTTCCTAGGGGACAAGAGACCTCTACCTGGGTCCAATCATGCGCGCTTAATTGAGGGGAAACTCCGCCCCAAAAATATTTTGACCCCACTCCTTTTTTAATTGGGAGAGGGCCCACAGCTAGCGAGAGTGACAACCTGTCGGGTTGTCATACGGCTTGGCCACCAGAGCGTTTCCCACGCTTTTCCCCGTGGGAACGGTCAACCACTTAGCTCTCAGTCGGCGCGTCTTGTAGTCTAATACTTGTTCGGGGTATACCGCGGCCTTCTACGACCTTGCAGACGTCGCCACAGTTACAAAAGGATTAACTGTCAGCGGCGACGTTCTAAGACGAGCACCCCATTTTGCACTTATCGGTTCCCTTTCATGTGCCGCCATTTCTCACGGTCAGTCGGGGAGTACGGCGCCCGTTAATTGCCGTGACGCGGTGTCGCCGAAAATAGCCGTCCGTGATACCGACCTATGCTCATGAGTCACGTCAAATATTTTTACAGCGTAATAAGGATGGAATGATAATAGGAATAATTTTATTTTGAATAATAAAAATAAACTTGACTGAGGGAGTTCATATAACATAAGACTATCCGCTCGACTAAGTTGTCACCTCCTATCTACATCAGGCGGTGGTTAGGAGAGGCAGCAGAACAAACGTGCGCAATAAGGAATCGTAGGAATGATACATGATGATACATGATCTTTTCGTAGGGTTAGACATACAAGGTAACTTAGCCTGTACTAGCGTGGTAGATATAAGAAGTTAAGACGACACCGACGTAATGAAAGGTAAACAGCTAGGCCTACATTTCTTTACGTCTGTCTCGTCTTTCCTTTCTATGTGTAAAGCGCTATAATGCAAGTTAAGTCCATGAACGACCAACTCGCCCGAGCTGCAACACTTCTGAACACAACGTAAATATTGTAATTCCCCCTTTTTCCGAATTTCTTTCATGCACTCATTCGTGTCTATTAGAGGCGGAAATTCCTAAGGCCTGTCTGCTTCGATTTATAGATGCACGTTAAAGAACCCCAGGCGGTCGAAATTCCCGGAGCCCTCCACTACAGCGTCTCTCATAATCATGTAGTGGTTTTGGGATGTTAAACTCCAACAATTCTTATCATTAGTGTCTGCCATCATGTTCCCGCTCGGCATTCACGCTTCGAGAGCAAAGTTTGTGTTCCTACACGTGCAATGTTTGCGTGTACGCGGTGTTTATGTGAACTTCCCATGTCGCAGGCTTCCGCTGCCCTGGCTGCTGTCGTGCATGATCTACGGTCCGGTGAAAGTGAGCAGCAGTGGCATGGCCTGCTCCATCTTCATCCTCTTCATGATGCTGCTCTTCGTGATCATCACCATCGCGCTCTTCCGCTGGCGCATGAACGTCGGCCTGGCGATGGTCATGTTCTTCCTCTACTTTGTCTTCATCGCCTGCAGCCTCATACTCGAGTACGAGGTGGTGCGCTGCACGGACATCATCAACTACCTGAGGCTCCGATGAAGACTTCCGCACACTGTGTGCGCCCTCTCTCGCCACCTTCCTCAAACATGCGCAATGCATCGAGAGAGAGGGAAAGAAGCATGCGACCTCCTCTGTCACAACGTGTCAGACGCTGCGTCTCACAACACAAAATGTTCGTTTTGGACGTGCCACACCGGAAAAAACCACCCATCGCTTTCTCAACAATGCGTGGAGGTGAAAGACATTCGGACCAGAAACAACGCATGCTACGCTAGGAGGAGCTCGTGCACGACTACGTGTGCCGTCTTTAAGAGACGCGACTCGATTGGAGAAGAAGGAAAATGCGTCATTGACGACCGTCCAGTCATCTACTACGGTCGTCACGATGCAAAACGTGCTCCTCGGACAGAACTTTGCCGGGCGCGGTACCTCGCCTCGAAAGTTGCAAGGCGTTCGACACCATCAATGCGTTGGCTGCAGTAAGATCGGTCTGTTTAAAAGAACTGTGGCACGATGTTCTTTCGCAAGGTGTTTGAGTGATAGTACAATGACACCGCTTCGGCGCTAAGTTGTCAACAAGCTCGCGGATCGTCATATGCGCGTGGTGGGAGACGAAGAAAGAAAATACGCTATCCTTGATCGCGACGCAGGAAACTACAATGTGGCTGATAGTGCGGATAATCCGAAAGCCTATTAGTGCTACAGCTGCCTTGGTACAGGGCCGGCTTCCTTTATGCATGAAACGCCAAGGTATAGCTTGAAAGTGTTCCACGGGCAACCAAGCTTTGTTTTCCTGCCACCAACGACGACGCTTTAGCTGTGCAGCGTGGCGCTTTCTATCTATAGTGTTCGCGCATCTTCCGCGGGTGATGTACGAGTACGCCGCTTTTCTCTCTGTCTTTATCGCTTCGTAGCAATGCAGATGTTTATCGGCTAACCACTGAGCTGGAGTCAACCGAACCCCATTTGTCTCACGTATGTGAGCAGCGCGACGCTTGTACCTCGAACGTCTCCTCGATCACGTGCTTCGCGTAGACAACGACGAGGAGGCGACCAAGGCCGTCAAAAAAAGATTGCGTAACGTGTAGAACGGCGTAATGAAAAAAAAAAGGTGTTTCCCGCTCAGCCCCCAGTCCTCCGTGTGCGTCAAGTAGAAGCAACGCTCGTGTCGGGCCGGGTCTTCCAGCAGTTCGCTTCCATCTACGTCCTTCTCTTCTGTGTCGTGCATTTCGGTTGATCAGCGCCCATCGAGAAACGGGGGCTCCGCGTCCCGCTTCGCGGAAGTGCTCCTCGAGAAAGAATCGCAGTCGGAAGTGAGCTTCCTTCTTCGTCAGTCACCTTTCCTCGCGGAAGTGTTCCTGGAAGTGTGGCGGTGCAGTATACCTACAGACAAACTTCCCTTGGTACTCATAAACAACACTAAAGCCATCTCGTGTAATAACAGTTGGAGTACACAGATAGGAGCAAAAACATTGTATAAGCTTTGTTTGCTTACAGGTAGTATTGAGAGCTATTGAGCTGAAGTGGGTGCAAATGAGCGTAAACGATGGCACCGTTCGTGATACGACTCCGCGCTGTCTAGAAGGCGTCGTGCCTCCTTGACCCTTTCAAGTCGACACGGAACAATCAAGAATGCTCGGAACAGTTTAAGGACTCCGGTACGGGCGCTTTAGTTACGAGTTTAAACGGCTGCTGTGTCTCGAGTTAGTCCAGATTTCGATTGGCGCTTGGCTTCGCTACTTCTTCTTCGAAATTCGAACGATAAGTGGAGAGTAGTAAATACTATTATCTGGCGATATTGCAGTATCTAAAATGGAACCAACAACCCCGACCAAGTGCATGGATGCATGAGAATGGCCTGTTATACTCAAGGAGACGACGACGGTTCTTATGGGGCGCACGAAGCTAACAGTATGACTTCCTCGTTACGTCACACGCTTCCTTATACCGGTACTCATATCTGTGATGTCTCGGTACGAAAATATGTATGCTGCACAACATGCTTACAACTACGGAGATTAGTTTCGCCTGCGCTTTGTGCGAAAGGTAATTGAGAAGCTGGAAACTTTTCTTTAGTGTCGACGCATTTCACATGATCCAGGAAGAAAAAGAAAAAAAAATGTTTTTAAACGGTTTTTTTTTTCATGTTTTGAATCAAACAATGTTGCTTCCGTTGTGGCTACAAATAAATCAAAATGTACGAAATACTGATTGGTTAATAAGAGCAACAGAAACGCAAAATAATCGACTTTGCACGGCACAACTATTGTAACGATAGCCCAACCGTTGGATCATGAGCAGTTGCAGCTTCCATGACTGTCTGCCTTTTATTTTTGGCGGAGCCTCGCGCGCGAAGTACGCCGATAAAGAAACTATATCTTGTCTTTTTCTTTTCTCTACCCACCCACCGCACAGGTCGCGGGTTCGTCTCAAACAGAGGTTAAAAACTCCGACGTTCAGACTACGTACGGTGCGAAGGACTGATCACGGTCAACAACACACCCCAACTGCCTCTTAACTTTCAACTCTTACCTCGGTCACCCTTCTCCTATCCCCGTAATTCACCCGCAAACATCCGAGTCCCTCGATTCAGAGGAGTGGTCATGGCCATTTTTGCAGCGCTACGTTCACAAAATGTGTTTAGACCACCTGCGTAAATCTAGTAGATGTATTTTTTCCCGCGAAATATACCAAACGTTGATTATGGCTTTAACCGTGCTTTCAAACTTAATTATCGCTGACTGTTTGCAAGCAATGAAGAAAACAGAAAGTTTACGAGCTAAATCGGCTAAAAGCGTTCTTGTTTGTTAAGATCTTACATGAGAAAATAGCGGAGGGAAGGTCTCACTATCTTAATCATCAGTAATTATCTTAACAAACTCATGCGATCAGAAATTACAGAGAATAAGAAAACAAGAAATACGTATTAGAAATGCGGTAACCAAACATACTGAAAGAAATGAAAATGCAAACTAACTTACCTTAAGAAAAAGCCTGCTATACACGATATGAATATACTCCCAATTGCGCTCCCATATTCTAACGACTCTTATGAGGAATTCACCCAGTCGAGGGCAATGGGACCGTAAGAAGCAAGAATCACTTTGTCAGGGGTCTCTAGAAACACAACAGATTGTTTATAAAAGCGATGAACTTGCATAGTTGCTCCCCGCCCATTGCTCTTGCGCTTAAGATGGCAGCAAGGGTACTGGCAGCACACAAGAACATACGCTTCACCGAGTAAACTTGTATTTTCCTGCATCACTAGAACCCGGCTCGTTTTCCTTCGGAAAGCACGTAGCGTAAAAGCAAAGAAGAAACAGCTCACACATCCATTTTTTAAAAAAGGGTAGGCGTTCCTCTAATAATAGTACACAGCATTCCTGTTTTTCTGCATCCCGCGACGTTCCACTGTTGCTTCCACACACGTCCTTCCTCGCCGTCATAATCACCCAGAGCAGCCCCCCGAAAGCTTCTTTCTCGCCGTCACGCCTGTACATCGCTCGCTTCGACTGTGAGGACCGTGAACCGTGTTGTTACCAACCCGTTTCTCCGGGGAGAGAGTGTGAAAGCTACGCTTTGTATGTGCGCGTGCGTGTGACTCATCAATGCTTACTTAGCTCGTGTCTGGTGCCTCTGGTGCGCGCTGATCCATGACGTCACGCCTTCGCTTCGTGAGAGAACGTACCGAGGAACAACTGTGGAGTGAATTCATTCCACTCGCCCACGGAGGCGCGCGTTCCTTATGGGAACACGGTCGAACTACAGGGCAGGCCTGGTCTCTGGATCAGAACTCCTAGTCAGGAGGCTCCATCTCGCGTTATTATTCGCAATGAAAGACTGCTGTATATATACTACTTCTCCGCCTAAAAACAAGTGTCATTGTTAACCGTTTGGTTTAGCTGTACAGATCGTAGTCTTATAGGTGGTATCGTGAAGAGATCCACACATGCGAGGCTCGGAATCCCTTGGAAGAGCACTCTTTACCAGACTGTGCTCAGAGGACGGATGTTATACGACTTGCTGGTTCGGCGCGAGAGAGTTCACAAAGATAATTGTTGCCAGTCTCGATGTCTGGAAGCTGCCGCGCGAGCTGCTCGCTTTAAAGGGAATCGTCAAGGCGTCGTTCCGTAAAAGACTCGGTGCATTCTCTGCAACCGGAGCTTTCCACTATGCACTGTTATGCAAGCGCGTTCGAGAGTGTCGAAATCGCATTGTCGGCGATCTATTCCTACAGGCTTCGTATAGATTTGCTTATTTATTTTGTCGCTTCAAGTCTCTTCTCGGTGTGCCATCGGTGTCACGAGTATCGGTGATGACCTGCGTGATGATATGCGGGCAGATAAGAAAGTCTGATTACATCTCAGTCTCAACCCTGACGTAGTCAGGTCGTTTTGTGACCGTTTAGCTGCGTTTCGGGGGTATTTCGGTATGCTGTAGTTCAAAAGTGAGTCGTTGGCTTCTGCATTCGTAACAGTTTCATCAGCCGTACGATTAAAAAGAAACATAACTGAAGATAAACAGACCTTGCCATCTCACTGACATCGTATTGCTTTCTGTTGTTGTATACTTAATGTCATGTGCGTTTTCCTTCGTGGCTTTACTGTACGGCTCTCGCATTTACGGCTCTCGCAGCAAGTGCCCGTCGCTAATAGAACCTCTATTTTAAGCACTTGAAACCATTTGGTAGGGGCCAGCTGTTTTTGAGTGATTATAGACAAGTGTACCCGTTTGCTGTTTGTGATAAGCATTCAAGTTTAGAGAGAGCAGTTGGCTATCTGGAAACGTTCACAACGCAGGCGTAATTTACACCACTATTACAGCTGTTTTCGGCGAAAAGCTGCGAGGAAGAAATGACTGGAAAAAATCATCTCAGAAAAATATGTAATAATTTTAATGATTGTTGGCGTAATATTAATGCAACTTACTTGTAAATAATGTATCTGCCACCAGAATAGGAAATTGACTACTGTCGTTGGTTGAGCGCGTTAGACGCTGTTGTGTACCTTGTCGAGTAGCCTTGCCATGG